CGTCGCCTGGCACGTCGTCTGGCACGTCGCCTTCGGGAGCCCATAAATAAAAAAGTTGCCTCGCATTGCCAGAGGCTCACTCCCAAGGCTCCGGCAATCTGTGTCGCCACAGCTTTCCACCATCTAGTTCCACACCAAGAAGGGGCGAGCTGCAGATGTTGCTGCGGCGGGTTCCAGGGCGGGCAAACAGCGAAACGCATAGAAGCCAGCAAATAAGGGCCTTAGATGGGCAGGGCTGGCCGGGGGGAGGGCTCAACGGGGCAGGCCGCGACCGACCAAAGTGCCTAACGTTGCCTGGAACGTCGCCTGGGACGTCGCCTTCGGAAGCCCCTAAGAAGAGACGAGGCAGGCCTCGGACAGGCTGGCTGTGGCTTATGTGCTCAATGCCTCCGCCACAGTGGCTTCTGCTGGAGGCAAAAAAGCCAACAGCCCACGGGGTGGTGGCTCGGCCAGACATGAACCGCCCACGGCTTGGTGGTAGTGCAGGACATGAAAGCAGAGGTAGAGATGCCAATGCCAGGACATGAAACCAGAGGTAGAGATGCCAATGCCAATGTTGCACCCTGCGGTGTCTCGGGCGCTTCCCCGCCTAGGCTTTGGCTAGGCCGGGGTCGGCGGATATAGATATATAGATATATATATATTCAGGAATATGTAGGATTCACAGCGACTATCGCTCTGACATCCATTTATTGAAACTAGCTGCCTGGCCTTTGCAATCCATGCAGCCTGCTCAGAACCCCCAAACTGTGAACCTCAACTAGGCCTCATTCTACTCCAAGTTGTAACAAACTGCCAACACTGCTGAATGTTTGTAGTTGGAGATGTAACTTCAAGGTCCAACTGGCCACGGGCTTCTTCTTTGCGCTAGAATTCCATGCAAAACGCACGAAAACACAATTCGAGAGAGAGCAAACCGGACCTGAAACTTGATTAAGTGAAGACTGTTGAAGTAGAGGAAGTATTCGGAAAGCGAGTACGACGACCACGGACAGATCTCTCGAAATGGAGGTTGGCCTTGGTCCCACTTGAGGGTGTTGCCAGATGTCTTTGCGGTGAAGAGGATCTTCCATCCGATTTGCGGCTTGGCATCAGAAACAAAATGCCCACCGGTCAAAGCGGTTAGGTATGAAAAGAGCGGTGTGAAACCATTGAAACTGAAATTTTGCAATGGTTGACCGCATGCACTAAGGACCCAACACATTTGCCAGGTACTCATGATCATGAGGCGCATCATTGCAGCTGTTCCGTAAACGGTTTTGGTCATCCCGCCGGCCCCTTGTGCTGGAGGTAGATCTGATTTGAACAGATGCTTTGTACTTGGAGAAGAATGACATGTAAAGCTTTGAGTGCACAGGCTGCCATTGCTGAAGCGCCTGGCCGACTTCCAGATGTCGGCTGTAGCCCGTGCACTGGTCGCCTCCTCCAACTGGAAAGCTGGACAAGCTGGGTGAAAACTAGGATTACAATAGACAGGTGATGCCAGGTCCTTGTGAGGTCGATGCTCCCACCTGCCTTTTGTATCCTTTTGTTACCTGCCACGTGGTTTTGTCACACCATGCATCAGGTCTTCCTTTCTTCCCTTTCTAAAACCCTTGTGAATTGTTGAACCTATAGTTTTATATAATGAGTTTTGATGGTTGTGTGCATTGTGTGCAGCAACTCGCTTCAAATTTTGTGGTGAGATGAGCATTTGCCCCTGTGGAGGAGAGATCGTTTTCGATCAAGGAGAATATTTTCATTCTTTAAATATAAAGTTGTTTTTGTGCAGCTGTGTCGAGCTCGCATTTGTATTTCTTGGGCCATTGGAGATGGGAGGAAGCTCACAGTTTTGTTCTGCGTATTTAGTTGTTGGTTCGTTGGATCGTCTATGTAGGGAGGCCTCTGTGGGAGCGTCCACATGCCAAACCTGAAACCGAGATGATTTTCTCATGCGAGGAGAACTTGATGCGGATAAGTTCTACATCATTGTGAAGGGTGGAGTTCGTATGAAGCTCAGAACCGAGTCCTGCAGAAATATGCTGCGACGATCCCACGATGGATTGGATCCGCAGGGCTCCATTTGGAGTTGGAAGATGTTGCGAGGGTAGGTCCACCATATGGCCAATGAGCCACATGTGACCTTCACCTGCTTGGTATCTTGGTGTTTTGAGTCCGCTGAGGTGTTGACCGGGATGGCACGCTGCTCCGGGAGCTGCGCAGGGGCGCCTGCTTCGGGGAGCGTGCGCTGCTCTTCAGCGAGCCCCGCTCGGCCAAGGCCCTGAGTGAATTCGGTTCGGGGCCAGATTATTTGGAACAGGTTGCATTTGCAAACTTTGGAATCTTTGTTTTGGTGAAACTTAAGAGATGCTGGACTGGGCCTTGTGGTAGGAAAGTTGGAGCATGATGAATTGTTGTGTGCCTGAATCTGTTGGCGCAAGGTTACTGTGACAGAACCAGACACGCAGTTCTGGAGTGCCGACCGTAACGTCTTTGAAAAGTATGTGACCAAAAATATGCGAGATGATGCTTGGTCAAATTCAAGTGCGCATAGAAGCAGTTGCCTGCAGAAATGTTGCCTTCAGTTCCATCCATGTTCCGCACTTACTCCTGGCTCGAAAGATGTTTCTGACGAGATGTCCAGCGTTATGTACATGGCAACAAAGGACTTGCGCGAACGTGCAAAGTTGCAAGACTGGACTCTATCCTTAAAGACTCTCAGGCTGGCAATTGTGAGGAAAATGCTGGGATTTTAAGTCGAGATACCAGTGTCCTCCAACAATGTACCGCAAGTATGACAGCTGCACACATGCTCTTCTCGCATTTACCTTTTGCTAGGCACGTCAGGAGCATTGGGGTGGGCTCCTTTGGCTCAGTGCGCATGGTGGAGCACGTGAAGACCGGCGCTCGTGGCTGGGCAAAAAAAGGATTTCTAAACATCGACTTCTGTAGTAAGGCACTTGTTACTACTAGTAAGGCACTTGTTACTACTAGTA